ACTGATGTGTACTGGTGTTTACTGATGTTTACTGGTGTTTACTGATGTTTACTGGTGTTTACTGTTTACTGGTGTTTACTGTTTACTGGTGTTTACTGATGTTTACTGATGTTTACTGATGTTTACTGATGTTTACTGGTGTTTACTGATGTTTACTGGTGTTTACTGATGTTTACTGATGTTTACTGATGTTTACTGGTGTTTACTGATGTTTACTGATGTTTACTGGTGTTTACTGATGTTTACTGATGTTTACTGGTGTTTACTGATGTTTACTGATGTTTACTGATGTGTACTGGTGTTTACTGATGTTTACTGGTGTTTACTGATGTTTACTGTTTACTGATGTTTACTGTTTACTGATGTTTACTGATGTTTACTGTTTACTGATGTTTACTGGTGTTTACTGATGCGGCCGAGTGATCAAATAGGGCTGGTATTCATGCTGGAGGACGCACTGCAAAAAAAGAGATGAAATATAAGTTTCCGGGCGGCACGGTGTCTGAGTGGATAGCACTCTTGCCTCTCAGCAAGAAGGTCCTGGGTTCGAATTCCGGTTGGACCAGGGCCTTTCTGAGTGGAGTTTGCATGTTCTCCCCGTGTCTGCGTAGGTTTCCTCCGGGTGCTCCGGTTTCCCCTACCACTAAAAATATGTACAATAGGTCTGTCCTGTACTGGCCCCTCCCACTCCCAAAAATAACAATTGTAAACCGCTATAAATAAAAGATTACTTACTTACTCATATTTGACCTTTTTAATGTCCTTTTTAGTATTATTATTATTGTGAAAGGTAGTTAACAGTATGTCCTGCGTTCAGGTGACGGTCAAGATGTGGTCACAATAATAACATGAATGCATAAATGTGTCTTGATTTGAGCACATTTTGACTAAACCTTAAAACTAGATTCACCAACGGGACAGAGCAAAATGATCTTGTTTGAAAAATATGCAAGAAATGTCTCGCTTGAAATGAGGAAATAAAGCAACAAATCTTGAAATAAGATTGAACAACTTTGTCCCTTTGGCAAATCTTATCTTATCTTATAATTTTTGAGTCAGAATGTGCTCAAAAAAGGATAAAAAACACTTGATTTAAGTATTTCTTACAACATATTTCAATGTTTTTGGCAGAGGTGGAGCAGCCGCTTGGTTTCGGACCATTTTCTCTGCTCTGGTCCAAAGTAAAATGCTAAATGCTTTGTTGGTTCAGACCATGAATCCTCTGTAATAACAAACAAACAGGAGACATTGGACCGTTGGGAGAGGGATTACCAATGTCCGTAAACAATAATAAATATCCTGGATCCTCGCTGGTCTTAGATCTTCTTTCATCTGTGATAATGCTGTTTCAACTACAGTTGAACCTGATGAAATCTCACACAACAAAGAGACAAAGTTAATCTTTTACTTGTTACATTGTACAAGGAGAATGTCTTGACAGAGGCAAGGCACAGACCCCAGCCTCTCTCAGGACAAGTCTGAAGATTCACAGTCTGCAAGCCCCTTTTGGTAGAACAAGACACACCTTCGTATACAGATGGGAAAGGAAGAAACCAACACAACAAAAGACACTTAGCATATGAGCTCCCCA